TTGCTCGATTCTACTATCTTCCTTTGGTGTTTTCATATGTGGTTTTCCCTTTCTCGTCTTCTGCTGGGAGTGAGTGGTGGTGGTGCAGGTATCACTCTCGGGACAAACGTCGTACTACATAAGGCTACAAGTACTACGGGTTTAGTATGCTCAGGTTGTATTCACATTGAAATTGAAATAAGTTTATTGAGGTAAAATACACACAAAGGGATGAGGTATCTCAAGCTATTCTCACCCCGTTCAGTACATCGTGTTAATACATACATAGACACACATCACAAACAATAAACGTATTACCGAACATTCTGAGAGATAAACATATACATTTCCTCCTTTACACAAGTATGTATACACATTGTCTTGGTGTCGACCATCCTCACCGCTCTTCGATTAATGTTTTGTTGTCCGGTATTCCTCGTTTACCGGAAAAGACGTGAAAACAGTGTAGGCTATTTTCTGGTCTTTCTGGAGTTTCCATGTATAGTATTGTGTTCTCCATTACGGATCAAATATTATAGTTGTACATTCCTTAACATCCAAGTGACGCGCTACCCTCCGTGCTCACATACCTCTAACATTTTTCACAAGTTTTGCGAAGTAGAGAGTTTCAATCATTTCCACTGGTAATGTGGTCATTGATGCATCGAGTCATTGATGTTTTCTTGTCTAGTGTTATGGCAGGACGGTATATATGGTGCCGCTGAGACAGCCCAGAGTTGGGTCTTAGCGGCAGAAACAACACCACGCCAACGTCCTCCAGAAAATAGAGTTTTAAGACTTTCCTTGATGTGATTTACATCTTTGGTGTCTCCTGAAGACATCAGAGTACATCTCCACACGCGCCAGCCTCTGGTGTTACCTCCATCATGTCACGGTAACAGATGCTCGACAAGAGGTAACAGATGCTCGACAAGAGGTAACAGATGCTCGACAAGAGGTAACAGATGCTCGACAAGAGGTAACAGATGCTCGACAAGAGTGATCCGATCAATCTTGATCAGTAAAGGAGGCTCTTTACGGCACCCTGGAAGGTTAGGTTACTTATGAGGTTTACATCAGCTCCACCTGTCTTCACTTTACTTACCAGTTCTTTATGACAGACCCATCAAATGCTCAAGCAATGTCCAAGACTATGACATAATTATCAAACGAAGGCGCTAAAGGCTATGGCACATGTATTCTCCGCGCAGTCGAGAGACTTGTTCTATGTGGTCAACTATACTGGCACAACTGATGTACTTCTTTTACCTCTAAGGTCAAAGTGTTACTATGTAAGTGGTTTTTATGGAGAGGCTCTAGTCCCTCCAGGATCTCTCCCTCCCTCCCTCCCTCTCTCTATAAAACCACAATGTAATATCAGTAGTATGTCATAAATATAACCCATCAATATAGACGCTCACCATAATCTGAGCTCGGCGTAGCCAGCTGGAGAAAGAGAGGAGAGTTGTGGAGAGAGAGAAATAGAGAGCGAGAGAGGTGGTACAAGAGAGCAAGATAGCGAGAGAGAAAGGGAGGGATTAGAAGGTAGACGTATTAGCTGCTACAGTCTACATAAACAATGCCCATATTTATGTGGGGTATTATTGATGTGGAGCGGCCGTCGCCACCCTGAGGCACCAGACAGGGAAGCGGAGAGAGGCGAGGCCACCTGGGAGTCAGTAGTCACCAGGACAGGTGTAGGTAATAATCAAATGGTAAAAAAATCTTGGTCTGGCACTCTAATAATCCTGAAAGCATTTAGCTACAGGATGCTGAGTACAAGAGAGCCGTAGTTACTGCCACAGCGAATAGCACTGAACCTTGAGGCACTTGAAGGTGGTCCTCCAGAGTCTTGGCTCACACCCGCCACACACAGTCCTCACTCTGTGTCCTCAGTCTCAACTTGATGGTTATAGAGAGCTGTAGGGACACGCGGGATGCTTGGCCTCCTCTCACGTGGAAGCAGTAATCCTGGTGGATTAGCCTGGCAGCATCATCACTGAGAACTTCGTGTCCTCCTCCATCGTTGACCGGAGTTGACCTGACCCTTGGTTAGCGGCCGAGGTGTGAACGTCCACCGTGTACACCCCACTCATGAGGAATGCGACCAAGCGTTCCAACTGTTGTTGTTGTTGTTCTGTTTTACTGTATACTGCTCTCTCCACCCCCCCCCCCCTCCATCTGTCTCCTCATCTCTCCCTATCCCTCACTATCCTTCCCTCTTTCTCCCTCTTTCTCCCCCTATCCCTCCCTCCCTCCCTGTCTGTCCCGTCCCTGGCGCGACAATGGTAGAGAGGACATGTAAACATTTCAGGAAGGGTGTGGGGAGGCGAGGCTGGCGGGAGTGTCCACCCGCGTAATGGAAGACACTGGTACGTTTTGTTTGTGTCTGGCTCTCCTCCTCTAACTCCTGCGTGGTGGGGGGGGGGGGACCACCCCACAGCTGTGTGGAGGAGACACTACCCCACCACCTGTGTGGGGGAGACACTACCCCACCAGCTGTGTGGAGGAGACACTACCCCACCACCTGTGTGGGGGAGACACTACCCCACCACCTGTGTGGAGGAGACACTACCCCACCACCTGTGTGGGGGAGACACTACCCCACCACCTGTGTGGAGGAGACACTACCCCACCACCTGTGTGGGGGAGACACTACCCCACCACCTGTGTGGAGGAGACACTACCCCACCACCTGTGTGGGGGAGACACTACCCCACCACCTGTGTGGAGGAGACACTACCCCACCACCTGTGTGGAGGAGACACTACCCCACCACCTGTGTGGAGGAGACACTACCCCACCACCTGTGTGGAGGAGACACTACCCCACCACCTGTGTGGAGGAGACACTACCCCACCACCTGTGTGGAGGAGACACTACCCCATTACCTGTGTGGAGGAGAGTCACTACTCCAGTGAGGAAGAAATCCTCCCCCCCCCTTCCCCCACCTCTCAGCGTCAAGTACAGTTCTCTCAACCTCACACTAAGGCCACCATCATAATATCAACCTCACAGTCCACAGTCAACCTCAACCTCCTGACCAAAGAGCCAGAGCTCAACCCCCGCAAGCACAATTAGGTAAGTACAGTAAAATTTCGGGCGGGACAGAAAAAAATGGTTGGGTGTATTTCCTATCACCTAATGCATCTGTTCACCCAGCAGCATGTAGGTACTAAGGCGTCAGTGAGCTTGTTGTGTAGTTCCATCCGGATGGTGTGCGTCTAATTACCCAAAGCTTCCTAACATTACGCAAGTAATGAAGAAATATAACATTTACTCACTATAATGTTGGTGCTTAATGTAGAACATGATGAAACATATTTTTACTGTGCAGTAATATCATTTTATAACGAAATTAGACGGAACAAAGTGGCAGGTGACGCCGCAGGTAGTCGACGCTCCAGGTGACGCCGCAGGTAGTCGACGCTCCACGTGACGCCGCAGGTAGTCGACGCTCCACGTGACGCCGCAGGTAGTCGACGCTCCAGGTGACGCCGCAGGTAGTCGACGCTCCACGTGACGCCGCAGGTAGTCGACGCTCCACGTGACGCCGCAGGTAGTCGACGCTCCAGGTGACGCCGCAGGTAGTCGACGCTCCCGGTGACACCACAGGCAGTCGACGCTCCAGGTGACGCCGCAGGTAGTCGACGCTCCCGGTGACACCACAGGCAGTCGACGCTTCAGGTGACGCCGCAGGTAGTCGACGCTCCAGGTGACGCCGCAGGTAGTCGACGCTCCAGGAGACGCCGCAGGTAGTCGACGCTCCAGGTGACGCCGCAGGTAGTCGACGCTCCAGGAGACGCCACAGGAAGTCGACGCTCCAGGAGACAATGTTATGACTTTGGGTAATTAGATGGACCCAATTTCGTTATAAATTATTTTATTTCAGAGTAAAAATATTTTTCATGTTCTACATTAAGCACCAACATTATAGTGAGTAAATATGTCATATTTCTTCATTACTTGCGTAATGTTAGGAAGCTTTGGGCAATTAGACGCACCGCCTGGGTGGGGTCAGTAATTCGACCCTGGCGGGGGGGGGGGGGGCGGGTTGACCTCGATGTAATTATATCAACTTCTCAGCATCATAATATCAGCCTTCCGGCATCTTCATAAGGCCATCTTCGCAGCATGAAGATATGATTGTGTGCGTATGTACTCACCTAGTTGTGCTTGTGGGACGGGACCAAAAAGCTTCGGCTCTTTGGTCCCGCCTCTCAACTGTCAACTGGTGTACAGATTCCTGAGCGGCTCTATCATATCTACATTTGAAACTGTGTATGGAGTCAGCCTCCACCACATCACTGCCTAATGCATTCCATTTGTTAACTACTCTGACACTGAAAAAGTCTTTCTAGCGTCCCTGTGGCTCATGTGGGTACTCAGTTTCCACCTGTGTCCCCTTGTTCGTATTCCACCCATGCTAAAGAGTTTAACTTTGTCCACCTTGTCAATTCCCCTGAGAATTTTGTAGGTGGTTATCATGTCTCCCCTTACTCTTCTGTTTTCCAGGGACGTGAGGTTCAGGTCCTTTAGCCTTTCCTCGTAGATCATATCTCTCAGTTCCGGGACGAGTCTGGTGGCATACCTCTGAATCTTCTCTAACTTTGTCTTGTGTTTAACGAGGTATGAACTCCAGGCTGGAGCTGCATGCTCCAGAATATATGTGTGTGTGTGTGTGTGTGTGTGTGTGTGTGTGTGTGTGTGTGTGTGTGTGTGTGTGTGTGTGTGTGTGTGTGTGTGTGTGTGTGTGTGTAAGGTGGCGCCTGTCTGGTCTAGTCTCCGTCCTCAGCCTCACATAACACAAAGATTATACCACATTTTCTCCTCCGTATCTCCTCTCACCCTCCGCTTCGTCGTCCTCCTCCTGTCCCTGCTCCTTCAGCTATCCTTGTCCTCCCATCCTCCTGCTCTCTTTGTGCCTGGCTCTCTTCTCATTTTCCACTCCCTCCTCTCAAACCTCTTCCTCTCGTCAGATCAAGCCCTCCCTCTCTCTCTTTCTCTCTCCGTCTCTCTCTTTCCCCAGTGTGGACGCGCGCATGAGGCCCCATCCAGTGTAGAGACGACCGTCGTGCTGGGCTGCTCCAGACCTTGTGCTCTTATATCGACCCCCACAACCACCAAAGTGTTTTCTGTGTGTGCCTCCTGCTCCCCCAAGGCCATGCCTAAGAAGGGAAGCAACGGCCGACGTGAGTACTGGACCTCGCTTGCTGTGTGAAGGGCGGGAGACGCCGAGTTGGTGGCGGTGGAGGGGGGAGGGTTGGGTGGTGCTGATGCGTATGTGGGCTGTGTTGGTGTGTGGGACAAACGACACAAACTTGTTTGCTGCGTCCTTGCACTTCTGCGTGATGTAGTCCATCATATCTTGGGCCGTCTTTCCCCTGAGCTCTGTTTCCCATGCTATATCTGTTAGGAATCTTCTTATCCCCTCATAGCTTCCCTTTCGGTATGCTAACCTTTTGGTTTCGGTATCCCTCCTCGAGTTCAATAACCCTTCTTTAATCAAGTACTCAAACACCAGTACACTGTGGTCGCTCATTCCTACTGGGTCCTCAAAACCGATTTCTCTTATGTCGGAGTCGTTCAAAGTGAAGACTAGGTCGAGTTTCGCTGGTTCGTCAATGCCTCTCATCCTTGTGGGTTCTCTGACATGCTGGGTTAAAAAGTTTCTAGTCACTACCTTCAATAGTTTGGCTCTCCACGTAACCTCGCCTCCATGCGGTTCCTTGTTCTCCCAGTCAATCCTTCCGTGATTGAAGTCCCCCATGATGAGCAGGTGGGATCTATTTCTACAGGCAGCAGAGGCTGCCCTCTCAATTATAGTGTTAACTGCCATGTTGTTGTTTTTATACTCTTGACTTGGTCTTCTGTCGTTTGGTGGAGGCTTGTATATTACTGCTACTACTATTCTTGGTCCTCCCATTGTCATGGTGCCTGCTATGTAGTCTCTGAACTCCTCACAGCCCGTGATAGCCATCTCCTTAAAACTCCATTCTTTTCTCATGAGTAGGGCCACTCCGCCTCTTTCCCTACCTTCCCTCTCTTTCCTTATTACTGTGTACTCCTGGGGAAACACGGCATGCGTTATGATTCCAGAGAGTTTTGTTTCAGTGAGTTCGACTACTTCTGGGTTCACTTCTTGTGCTCTTTCCCTTAGTTCACTTGTCTTGCTTGTGATCCCATCTATGTTCGAGTACATCACCCTGAAACTGACTCTCTTCTGCTCTGTGTGTGTGTGTGTGGTGTGTGGTGTGTGGGGTGTGTGTGCGTGTGGTGTGTGGGGTATGTGTGCGTTTGGTGTGTGGGGTGTGTGTGATCTGTGTGTGTGTGTGTGTGTACTCACCTAGTTGTGTTTGCGGGGGTTGAGCTCTGGCTCTTTGGTCCCGCCTCTCAACCGTCAATCAACAGGTGTACAGATTCCTGAGCCTATTGGGCTTTATCATATCTACACTTGAAACTGTGTATGGAGTCAGCCTCCACCACATCACTGCCTAATGCATTCCATTTGTCAACCACTCTGACACTAAAAAAGTTCTTTTTAATATCTCTGTAGCTCATTTGGGCACTCAGTTTCCACCAGTGTCCCCTTGTGCGTGTGCCCCTTGTGTTAAATAGCCTGTCTTTATCTACCCTATCAATTCCCTTCAAAATCTTGAATGTGGTGATCATGACCCCCCTAACTTCTGTCTTCCAGCGAAGTGAGGTTTAATTCCCGTAGTCTCTCCTCGTAGCTCATACCTCTCAGCTCGGGTACTAGTCTGGTGGCAAACCTTTGAACCTTTTCCAGATTAGTCTTATCCTTGACAAGATATGGACTCCATGCTGGGGCTGCATATTCCAGGATTGGCCTGACATATGTGGTATACAAAGTTCTGAATTGTTCTTTACACACGTTTCTGAATGCCGTTCGTATGTTGGCCAGCCTGGCATATGCCGCTGATGTTATCCTCTTGATATGGGCAGCAGGAGACAGGTCTGGCGTGGTATCAACCCCAAAGTCTTTTTCTTTCTCTGACTCTTGAAGAATTTCCTCTCCCAGATGATACCTTGTATCTGGCCTCCTGCTCCCTACACCTATCTTCATTAAATTACATTTGGTTGGGTTAAACTCTAACAACCATTTGTTCGACCATTCCTTTAGTTTGTCTAGGTCTTCTTAAAGCCGCAGTCCTCTTCTGTGTGTGTGTGAGAGAGAGAGAGAGAGAGAGAGAGAGAGAGAGAGAGAGAGAGAGAGAGAGAGAGAGAGAGAGAGAGAGAGAGAGAGAGAGAGAGAGAGAGAGAGCCTGTGCGTACCTAATTACAATTACAGGATAAACGCTACGCTCGGAGGCCCATTGCGTTGTAAATGTTATGAAAGCTGGAACCACCAGATGGATCAGCTGGAACAGCTGGGTGATCCAGTAAACATAGCGGCCCGGGAAGCCACGCCCACAAATCCCCTAATTTTTAAATCTATATAAACATCCAGCCTCTGGCACCCCCGTGTGACCTCGCCCTACTGAACAAATCACTCCGTTCTCTCGACTGGCCAATGCGTAAACAAATACAACTCTTTGGGCTAAATTAGAATCATACGCACCTAAGCATCCCACCTAACCCATCGAGGCCGATGCGTTAATGACGTCATTTGTAACGGTGCTTCGTTTTCAAATCTCCCGCGTTTTGAGCATATCTCCCACACACGTGCGTGAGTGCGCTCACTCAAGTGCCTTTCTCACCCCCTCTTACTCCACCTCTCCTTCAATGACCCTCTAATCTATCATTAACTGTCTCTTTGAGTCTTTTGTGCAGTTTTTTTGTGTATGTTTTATGTCGTAATCATTTCCCCCTTGGAGTCTGAAGGGGTTCAGATGCCTTATAGCCCGTGCCCGAGCCCCTTCCCTTATGTTTATAACACCAGAACTGTGGCAATCTTTGCCACTTTCTCACTATGCATTTTTATGCTTTACTAGGTGCGGGTTCCCTGCTGGTGCCGCATACTCTAGCATCGGTCTCACGTAGGTGATATATATATAATTCTTTGAATGGTTCCTTGTCCAGGCCTGGAGGCTGCTATCTTGTGTGCCAACTTTGCATATGCCGCCGATGTTCCAGTGTATGTTTGAGAGCCTTGGTATCATGTCATCCCCCCTTAAGTATTTTACCCAATCCGAAGCTGGCAGCTGCACTGCTTTCTGTGTTGTTCACGTCATCTTCTGCGCCTCATCTATGTCACCTTGCATTTTGGTGGGTTGAATTCAAATAGCCACTAATTGTACCATTACTGCAGCTTCTCCAAATCTACCTGTAGCAATTTGCCGTTATTCTCTGTGCTTATTATTTTCAACGACTTTGTATCGCCTGCAATCATTGATAAGCAGCAGTACATGTGCGAGTGTCAGAGAGAGAGAGAGAGAGAGAGAGAGAGAGAGAGAGAGAGAGAGAGAGAGAGAGAGAGAGAGAGAGAGAGAGAGAGAGAGAGAGAGAGAGAGAGAGAGAGAGAGAGAGAGACAGACAGACAGACACAGACGGAGAGACACAGAGATACAGAGAGAGACAGAGAGAGAGAGAGAGAGACAGACAGACAGAGAGAGAGGGAGAGACAGACAGAGAGAGAGAGAGAGAGAGAGAGAGAGAGAGAGACAGAGAGAGAGAGACAGAGAGAGACCCCACTAGTGATGGGACATTACTAGTAAAACCCGGGTTAGTTCCCGCCTCACAATGGAAAGTTTGGATGTAATGTCCTCTTATAATCCGTAATTTAACACTAACTTTCAATTGGAACCATCAACATTATTTCTCAAGCAAATCCAAATAATGGCAATCTGTGCGTCTTTGGCTTACTGTAACAATGTGTGTCGCTCTGACACAGAAGATTGGAGGACGGGCTGGAAGATATAGAGGTCTGAACTATGTCATCTTGCCTAGTTGGAATTGAACTGTTCAACTCTAAGTAATGTACCTATTTTATATATATATATATATATATATATATATATATATATATATATATATATATATATATATATATATATATATATATATATATAAAATACACAGTGTTCTAGGGCCTGATTAAACAACCTCTGACTCATAAATAGACTTAAATCAGTTATCAAGAAAGACAATTATGAAGAAAATAGGATTGGTCTAGTTACAGAAGAACTAGTTAAGATATACTCGTAAACTCTTACCAGTATAACCAGAGGTAAACTTTCCCTTGATGAGTTTCCTTTTCTCTCTAACACACCGCCAGGAAGCAGCCCATAGCAGCGGTCTAACTCCCAGGTACCTATTTACTGCTAGGTAAACAGGGGCATCAGGGTGATATATAGACTTTGCCTATTTGTTTCCGCCTCGCCCGGGACTCGAACCCGGGCCCTTAGGATTACGACCCCCCGAGCGCTGTCCACTCAGCCGCTGTGTGTGTGTTTATGTAATCCTGTGTGTACATAGTGTATGTGTACATAGTGTATGTGTACATAGTGTGTGTGTACATGCTGCATCTTAATTTTTTGTGTAGGTATATTTCAGAGCGTGATTGTGTGCGTGTATGTATTCACGTATTTGTGCCTGCACGCTCAATCAATAGCTCTTGGGCCCCGCCTTTCTTGCCGTAGGTTGTATAAGCAATGACTCCTGGCCACCCCCCCCCCCATCATATCCCACTTATAAAATTATGAATTAGATTTGCTTCCACAAGCTGCTTTTTTAGTTCATTCCCTCTTCCCTCTCCTCTCACGCTAAATGAACACTTGCTAGCATCTCTCCGTCTCATCTGGGCCTCTAGTGCCCAACCACGTCCTCTTCCTCTATTGGTATCCAGTGTAGCGTTTCCTCTATTTCCACTCTGTCAATGCTTCTGATGTTATTCTATTTGTATGTCTCTTCCTAAGGGTCGTTACGGGATGGTCGTTTCCTTTTACTGTATACTGTTCCTTTAGTCTCCTTTTAGTTTACTGTCGCTTGTACCTATTTCTATCACTTTACATTTGCTCGGGTTGAACTCTAGTAGCCATTTCCCCCCCGAACATCTCTCTGCAACCTGTTGAAGTCGTTTTGGAGGATCGTATAATCCTCTTCTGTCACAATTAGTCTCATTAATATCTCGCGCGCGCGCGCGTGTGTGTGTGTGTGTGTGTGTGTGTGTGTGTGTGTGTGTGTGTGTGTGTTGTTTGTTTGTGTGTGTATACTTACCTAGTTGTGCTTGACGGGGTTGAGCTCAGGCTCTTTGGTCCCGCCTCTCAACCGTCAATCAACTGGTGTACAGGTTCCTGAGCCTATTGGGCTCTATCATATCTACACTTGAAACTGTGTAGGGAGTCAGCCTCCACCACATTACTGCCTAATGCATTCCATATGTCAACCACTCTGACACTAAAAAAGTTCTTTGTAACGTCTCTATGGCTCATTTGGGCGCTCAGTTTCCACGTGTGTCCCCTAGTGCGTGTGCCCTTTGTGGTCTTTATCTACCCTATCAATTCGTCTGGGAATCTTGTATGTGGTGATCATGTCCCCTCTAACTCTTTTGTCTCCTAGTGACGTGAGGTTTAATTCCCGTAGTCTCTCCTCGTAGCTCATACCTCTCAGTTCGGGTACTAGTCTGATGGCAAACCTTTGAACCTTTTCCAGTTTAGTCTCAGCATACTTAAATCGCATAGCATCCACACACACTTAATGTATGTGTGTGTGTGTGTGTGTGTGTGTATGTGTGTGTGTGTGTGTATGTATGTGTGTGTGTGTGTGTGTGTGTGTGTGCGTGCGTGCGTGTGTGCGTGTAGCGCCTGAGGACAACCAACATTGACTCAACCAATGGCCGGTTTTTTTTTCCGAAGGTTAAAGGGCGAGGCAGTCACTCCAGCCGACCTGCAAGCCTTGCCTCTTGCCCAGCCTTACACCACGTCCCTTACCACCTTATCCCGGACACCCTGTCTCTTACCCCTTATCCCGGACACCCTGTCTCTTACACCTTATCCCGGACACCCTGTCTCTTACACCTTATCCCGGACACCCTGTCTCTTACACCTTATCCCTTACACCCTGTCTCTTACCCCTTATCCCGGACACCCTGTCTCTTACACCTTATCCCGGACACCTCATCCCTTACACCTTATCCCTTACACCCTGTCTCTTACACCTTATCCCGGACACCCTGTCTCTTACACCTTATCCCTTACTTACCCCTTATCCCGGACACCCTGTCTCTTACACCTTATCCCGGACACCTCATCCCTTACACCTTATCCCTTACACCCTGTCTCTTACACCTTATCCCGGACACCCTGTCTCTTACACCTTATCCCTTACACCCTGTCTCTTACCCCTTATCCCTTACACCCTGTCTCTTACACCTTATCCCTTACACCCTGTCTCTTACCCCTTATCCCTTACACCCTGTCTCTTACACCTTATCCCTTACACCCTGTCTCTTACACCTTATCCCTGACACCCTGTCTCTTACACCTTATCCCTTACACCCTGTCTCTTACACCTTATCCCGGACACCTCATCCCTTACACCTTATCCCTTACACCCTGTCTCTTACACCTTATCCCGGACACCCTGTCTCTTACACCTTATCCCTTACACCCTGTCTCTTACACCTTATCCCTTACACCCTGTCTCTTACACCTTATCCCGGACACCCTGTCTCTTACACCTTATCCCTTACACCCTGTCTCTTACACCTTATCCCCGACACCCTGTCCCTTACACCTTATCCCGGACACCCTGTCTCTTACACCTTATCCCTTACACCCTGTCTCTTACACCTTATCCCGGACACCTCTGTCTCTTACACCTTATCCCGGACACCTCATCCCTTACCCCTTATCCCCGACACCTCATCCCTTACAGGCATAATGCGGGAAAATCAACCACAGAGACAATACTGAGAAAGAACAGGCACATGACCCCTCAAAAAAACATCGTGAAACTATATATTGTGAAACTGTATATTGACAATTATTAGAAAAGTAACTCTCTCGCGTCAAGATGAAATGGGGCTGCAAATGTGTAGCAGCTTGTGTCAATGTGTACTTTGTTGCAAATATGTAATGTGTTGCCATATATATGTAATGTGTTGCCATATATATGTGTAATGTGTTGCAAAATGTGGTTTGTTGGAATGCTTAGCTTGTTACAGTATGTAGTTTAATGTGCTTTTTTGCAGCGTGTAGTTTATGGATATATGTAATGAGTTGCCATGTGTAGTAGTTTGTTGAGAGATTTATTCAGTTGTAATATGTATTGCTTCTTGCAATGTGTAGTTTGTTATGTGTTATCAGTTGTAATGTGTAGTTTGCTATGTCTTATGTGTTGCAGTACTTTCATATATATAATCTGTTGCATTATGTAATATGTTGCAAATATGTAATGCTATAATGTGAGTTCGTTGCAATATATGATAGTTTGCAATATCTACCGTTACAATATATGGAGTGATGCAAAATGTACTGTATTGCAAGGCGTACCATGCAGTAAGGCGTACCGTTCAGCAAGGCGTACCGTGCAGCAAGGCGTACCGTGCTACAAGGCGTACCGTGCTACAAGGCGTACCGTGCAACAAGGACGTACCGTGCTACAATATTGAGTTTGGTCTCGAGAGAGCAAATTCCCCTCCATAATGAACATCAAACCAGTTTGCTTATTAATGTGAACTTCGTCGCGTTATTGTTACTTTGATAACTTTGTTACTTTGATAACTGTGTTACTCTGTCGTGTTGAGGTAATGACGGTTACCATGGCAACCTCTGGAGAGGCAGCGAGAGTAACCTCAGCCTCCCAAGACAGGGTCACCGGAGACGGTGGCGGGGCTGAAGGACGACCCCCCACTCTGGGGGCCTTGAGGCGCTCCGCTCGTCCTCAAGTGACCCAATTACGGAAGATTTATTATTTGGGGAGGAAAAATGATGCATCAATTACCCAGAGTTTGTGGATGTCTCCACCGCCGGCGAAGCTGGGTATTGTAATAGGGGAACACTTGTACAATAGTCACCTGTCTTACTGTGGGGAGTTT